CAGTTCAAGTCAGCAGCCGCTCATGGTTTTTAAGAAACCCTCAAGCCAAAAGAAATCCGAGCAGAGTCAATGGCCGATGCCTTCATGTCTTTGGCACACATTAGGAGGCGGCCCCCTTTACATTTCTCAGAATGGGACAATTTAACATAGGCGGCCAGATGTTAAATTTTTTAAACTTTCAGCCTTGATGCCTTTAGCCAGAGTGGAGGTTTTTTTTTAGATGGTAGGCGATTGGAAGCCGTCTGCTCTATGCCGATCGTGTTCGTTTCATGAAATAATAGGTAATTAAGTCCAAATTCTACAAACAAATAAGCAGATTTTGAAGCAGACTGTTTGTGGAATTAAAATCACTCATTGCTTGGGAAAACGTAATAACTAACAAATATGGTTACGATTGGTTAATCGTAATTAAGCTGACTAATCAGCTTGATTCCCGATTTTCTATTAGTACCTATTCTTTATTTTACGATCACATTACACCAGCTGGCCCAAAATATTGCATGCTTACCGAAGCCCATCACTAATCACAATATCATTTTAGAATATTCGAAAATTTAGATTCATAGGTAGGAGGTACCTACTTAGGTATTTTGGCTACGGTACTGCGTTGAAACAAAAAAAGGAAAAAGTGATTACATTTTTGGGTTATTGCGGTTCCCAGCCGACAAATTTGAGCGGAGCAGAGGAATTTTAACGAATTTTTTCCAGTGTGAAACTCCACGGTTAAATCGAACTATAACCGGTTGCTGAATTAGTTTAATTGTAATAGCTTTTCTGTGAAATAATGTAATGCCATGAGGTTAAGAAGGTGCGATGCACTTAACGAGATTTAGCGGACTAGAAGAAAAAACATTTAAATGCTACAATTTGGATGCCTAAGGCATAAATCAATTTGCAATTCTGGAAATTGATCAAATGAATGATTATCTTGAATTATGTGGATTTCTCAGAAAAATGCTTGGCAAAACCATCAATTTCTATCAAGGAATCCAAGAAGAGCACATAAAAAACTATAATTAGAACTAAAAGTCGTGGACAGTAGTTTACTTGTTTTATATAACAACAATCCATGTTTTCATATGAAACAAAACGTATCATCGGTTATGTTCAAAATGCGTGTCACATCGTTTTACTTTTTTGGTTTTTCAGTGCTCTTGGAAAACTTTCATTCTCATGCACGAGAGTATAACGCTTGTATCTAAAACATTTTCAGGTATTTCGAGAGCTATCGTAGCAGATACATAAATAAAACTCAGCAATTTCAGTGCTAAAGGAGTAAATTTATTTAAAAAGTCCAATTTCAATCACATGAAAAGTTCATAATTTAAACATGAACTTTTACAATTTGTGATTATGCAGCTATGTGCAGGCTAGGCTATAATTTTGCTGCTGTTTCTGCTGCAGCACCTGTTCTTTTGTTACAACACACATTTTCCAACGGGTAATTGTTCAATTTAATAACAGTTTTCTTGGAAGTATCGCATTGCTAAGAATTATGTCTTGCTCTCCTTCTGCTTATTTAATGGTTTTATGTCCTTTGCATAGATAAAGACAAGTATAGATAGCCCACTACGTCGCACTCTGTTGGACCCGCGCTAACCTGCCGCCATCTATGAACGCAAGGGCACAGCTGCGTTTTAAATCTGCTTGCGAGTTTGCAGTTCAAAAGCATTTTAAATTTTTATTGCAGTAAATAAATTGGCAAAACGCCAAGTAGCATTAATTTGTGAAAAGTGTATCATGCAAACAACAAACCTTTATTCAAAAAGCAAAATGATGACGTTATGAATGAAGGTTTAAG